ATGGCACACTGGTGGTGTGTGGAGGTCTTCCTCACTCCTTTCCCAGTTGTGTAGAGCTCCACCGTGTTGTAGCAGTTCTGAGGTCTACACTGCTAGTCCCCATTGGTACATTTGAGTTGTTTTTCATTTTGCTGTTTTAAATGCCCTGTGTCAGACAGCCTGTGCTGGCAGCTGCCTTCTAGCATGCGTTGGGATAGAGCCCTGCAAGAAGGCTGTGGTCTGTGGTAAATGTTAAGATTATTTTGCTAAACTGCCAAATTCTCCTCTTTAATGTCTATACTGTTAGGAAACTGCTGGGAGGTGAAGGGTAATCTGGATAAAGTGGTTTGAAAACGTGTCTGTCCATAGCCCAAAGCAGGGCACACCTGGAGCAGGTGGGGCCTCTTCAGTGTCACGACTCCTTCAAGCTGCTACAACACTCCTGTTTTCTTTTGTGTAAATCTATGTAAACTGTTAAATACTGATTCTTTGGTGTTTTTCAGTTTGGGTACATTTATCCAATCTTTTTCTTTTGAAAATTTTTAGAATTTTAAGTGCAGTCTGGTCTTAGAGGGCTGGAGAAGATGATGGTCATCTCCTTGGATGGACCTCTGAACCTCCTTGGCATGTGTGCTCAGTTGTCCCTCAAGTTAAAAGAGAGCGGACTTTGGGGACCTGGGGATGTGCTTCAGTGGTTAAGCACCCCTGGGTTCAATCCCTGGTTACTAAATAAATAAATAAGAACTTTAGGTTTGGGGACTTTATATCTTTTTTTTTTTTTTTTTGGTACCAGGGATTGAACTTGGGAGCACTCAGCCACTGAGCCACATCCCAGCCCTATTTTGTATTTTATTTAGAGACAGGGTCTCACTGTGTTGTTTAGTGCCTCGCTTTTGCTGAGACTGGCTTTGAACTTACAATTCTCTCATCTTAGCCTCCCAAGCCACTGGGATTGCAGGCCTGCACCACCGCTCCTGGCTGGGACTTTATATCTTTGTCTTGTCTTTATGTGTCTGTCATAGTCCTTTCTCTGCAAATTCCCATAGCATAAACTCGATGAGCACTAATGTGCTGTGCTGTTTTCTCTTGGTCACCCCTGGGAGAGAAGAACAGAGGGAGGAAGAGAGAATATACGTGTGTGTGTGTGTGTGTGTGCAGGGCTGAGGATCCCAAGGAGGAGAAGCAGAGGCCACATAAGGACCAGGAGGAAGGCCAGGTGGTGGGCATACATAACTAAAGCCAGTGACAACCGGGCAGGTTCCCCTGCGTGTGATGGAACATCGTGGCATTCCAGCAGACCCGAGGCTGGGGTCCGTGACATCAGGCAGCCAAGGGACGAAGATCCCCATCTCACCAACTGCAAATGGCTTCTTAAAATGAGGTCTTCTTTAAACAGTGGAGGGCTTGCGTTTCATCTTCCATAGGAGCTTCCAGTGAAATGGGGCAGTGTCTGTGCAAGAGACAGGGGTGACTCGGCCTTGCTTCCTGCTCATGCAATCTGGATCCTTTTTTTAGGCGCTGTTTCTCCTTGCTTCCCACCCAGCCCCAGATGTGGAAGCCTTTCATACATATACTTCAGGAGGACGCTGGTGTGGGGATTCCCTGCTCCATAGTTGTGCGTTCAACATTAGTTTTCCCCATGACAGAATGCCCGGTTTGAAAGATTAATTTTCATTATGGTATTGACATTGGGCATGAATTACAGCAAATCCACTGTACATTATCGAACAGGCTGAGACAACTTCCCAGTTTGTGACCTCAGAGGCTTTTTTAATTTTATTTTATTTGAAACTCTGTCTTCCCGAAAGCTGATGAGGAGCAGTGATGAACATGTGGTCTCGGAGCAAGCAGGGGCAGGCTTGGGCTTGAAGATGCGCCTTCCATAGTGACGTTTGCAAACTTGAGGACGTAACCTAAACTGGACTGCAGCTTGCGTTCAGCAGCATGTTTGAAGAGTAGCCATTTCTGCAGAGTTTTCATAGATCACATATTTCATTCTGCTTTTTGTTATTGAGGGGCCACTCTAGGCCTGATCCCACCACCACACTGCTTCTCTGAGTCCCGATCAGGGGCTCACCCAGCCCTGGCCGAGAGCTTCAGATGTGAAACGCTTGCTGCCCCTCACCTGTGCAGGTTCTGTCGCAGACCAGAGCTCTGGTCGACCTTTTCCTTCTGTATGGGGCAAGCTTGTGAGGGTTATCAGACTCTGTGTGCATGTTCCTTGTGTACTTATGCGACACTGCATTGCAGGGACCATGTGTGCGTGCGTGTGTGAGATGTTATACGGAAAACTAAGTAAAAAAAGAGAAAGCTTCCATGTGGTTGGCTTAGTTTCCATCTAGTGAATAGTAATGATTTTTATTTATCTATGGAAACCTTTAATGAGGCAATAGAAATTGGCAAAAAATAAACTTGAAGCTGACAGAAGAGGTGTTTTTGGTTTCTGTTTGGTTTGGTTTTGGTGGTGCTGGGATTCGAACCCATGGCCCCAGCATGATAGGCAAATGCTCTGCCATTGAGCTACACACCCTGGTGCTAAACATTTTCTCACTGAATTGATTTCTGAGATGACTGCCAAATAAATGAACAAGATGAAAGTGCTAAGTGAAAATATAAAAATTATTTTTATCTCCATAAAAATGTAGCAGCAGCAGCCCTTTTACCACTACTCTAGGTTATATCTGCACATCCACTGCTCACTCGCCCTGTGGCCTTGCTGGGGAGCCGTTTTTACTTTCTGCTTTACATCTGATCCCCAGGCACTAAATCCTCAAGCTTACTGTGGAGAGTAGGGTGTCCCTGCCCTGGGTGACCCCATGGTGTACAGGACGGTGGCTTTCAGGCTGTCCCTGCCCTGGGTGACCCCATGGTGTACAGACTGCAGCTTTCAGGCTCCCCTGCCCTGGGTGACCCCATGGTGTACAGGACGGCGGCTTTCAGGCTGTCCCTGCCCTGGGTGACCCCATGGTGTACAGACGGCGGCTTTCAGGCTGTCCCTGCCCTGGGTGACCCCATGGTGTACAGGACGGCGGCTTTCAGGCTGTCCCTGCCCTGGGTGACCCCATGGTGTACAGACGGCGGCTTTCAGGCCTTGCTTGCTCCGAATGACTCCGAGTTATAAAGCAGCAGTTTGCCGTGTTACTACATTTTGAGTATAGGTGCCAAGGTAGAAACTTTAGTATACCTTGTTTGTACAGGTGAGCCACCTCGTGCCCAGCCCAATCATAAGGCACAAACTGACCATTCATGCCAAAAAGAAATTACCATCTGTGAACTTATTAAATAGGAGTCCGTGGGCATGTGGCATGTCAGGTCCCATCAGACACACAGAGCTGCCAGCCACACCAGATGTAGCCCCTTGTGTAAGAGGAGAGTGCCTCACGCTGACGTGGCAGGTGTGGACCTGTCACATGGCCACTCCTCAGGATCCTTGCCCAGGAAGATGGCCAGAGCCACCTCTCCCAGGTTTCAGTTCAGCCTGTCTCCCCTGCGACCACAGCCCACTTACAGCTGACACCTCAGTGCTGCCCTGTGCACCGTGTCTGGTCATCTGCGTGACTTTCTGCATCCGAGTCAGCCCTGCCTTCACTTCTAGCAAGGTCTTTGAATCCTGTGGCTGTCTTAGCCTTTCTCAGCCTTTCTGTGACCTGTTTGTCATCAAGTGAAGTATGATGCATGACTTGAGTTTATTGATAATAGAGGTTAAGATTGTGATGCTGGGGTCACTGGTACCAAGTGAAGTCACGAGTACCCAGTTCAATGAAGTGGATAAATGGACTGAGTATGTGAATTTATTTTTATTTAGTAAATTCTGACATTGTGAAAAGACACAGAGGTGCCCTGTCTCTTTTGATGGCATGGCTAGCTCATGACCCTTAGGCAGCTGGTCAGTGGAGGAGCAGGACAGGGACTGGACAGTGAGGTTCCCAGTGCCACCCCAACCACTCCACTCATATATAGAGAAATGACCTTTCTTGACAGGAGAGTGAAGTGGACATAGCTTTCCTATGTTCGTACATGAATACATGACCAGTGTGATTCCATATCGTGTACAACCACAAAAATGGGAAGTTAAACTCTGTGTATATATGGTATGTCAAAATACTGTCAGGTATAACTAAAAAGAACAACAACAACAAAAAAAAGAAATGAGCTTTCTCTCTGCAGTGACTTGACATCATCATGTGGGTTTTTTTAGAGTTTTTTTTAGGTTCATGATCACAAAATAAGCAAGTGTGTTAATGGTCTACATCAGTTTCTGATGACTTCTTTAGATCAGTATAAAGGCAGTTATGAAAATGGTTTTGCTTAAAGAGGACCTTCTGAGTGTAACAGTTTTAGCATCCATTAAAAGGTTATGCCATCATTTCTTGAGAGAAGTAAATGGATTTTTTGGTTCTGTAAAGCTAGGATGAAAGAGCTGGGTGTGCAGTGTGAACCTGCACGTCCCTGCTGTAACCATACCTGCGTGGGCTGGCTTTGCGCCCCGACACAGCCACCTCTCCAACCTTGCTTTCCTGTCTGTGAGTTGTTTCCTCCTAGGAGATCCTGGCCAGGGCCAGGTGAGAGGCTGGGGGTGTGTGCATTGCAGCTCCTGCTGCCATTGGGGGACGCTGGAGTTACTTGGAGGAAGGCGTCCACGTTCATCCCTTGGGTTTCCCTTCCCATGTGGAGAGTTTTCTGGCTCTTACACAGTTCCGAAGGCTGGAGGGCACAGGGCTGGGGGCTGAGCAGCTCCTGACTGCATGGCCTCTGGCGGGCCTCTCGCCTTCCTGATCCTTGTTTTCCTGTGGAGAGCCCTGGCCATCTCATGGAATTATTGAGAGGTTAAGTTCAGCTATATGTGTCAAGTGTTGGATTTTTCTTGAGATTAATCATTTAGAGACACAAAACAAGATTGTTTTGTGATGTCATTTTACTGAAAAAAAATTGCCCAACAATACACTTTGATAAAAGCATGTTTTGTCTATATTTACCCACCTACAAGTGCCATAACTGGATTTCTCTTCATTCCGTTATAGGTGCTGGAGATCAGAATTTGTTTACCTCTATTTATCCGACACTTTCCCAGCAGCTTCCCAGAGAGCCAATGGAGTGGAGAAGGTACAGTGTCTGGGTTTGGGCTGTAGCCCCGCCTGCAGTTTCTGGGTGTGGGAGCAGGCGAAGCAGCACAAGCGAGGGCCTCTGTCGTCAAGAATGGAAGGGCTTCCCCTGAGCTGCGTCTTACTGTTGAAGGCATTGGACGATGCTCTGTAATTTTGGGGGTGCTTGATCCTTGAGCATTCTAGGCAAGGGCTGTGCTTTCTAGCTAGCTCCAGCATGGTTTTCTTAATGAGACATTGGATGGCATTTTTTTTTTTTTTTTAAGTTAAAGACTGATGTTTGTAGGAATGACTTGTGATTCTTTCTGGTGAATCACAGTATCTTGAAGGTACAGGCAGCTTGCTGGGGAGACATATACCCCTTAGCAGCTGGGCTACCAGAGCTTCTCACCAAGCACCCGTGTACTTTTCTTAAGGATAAGAAGCTATATGAAAAGATGTTACTTAGAAATTAGAAGGATAAATAGAAGAGAGGCCTGGTCACCTGTCCCTGTAGTTGGCCTCTTGAGTACACTCAGGTCCCATTGTCTACGGACTTGTCCAGAGGGAGTCATTGGCTGGGAATCTTCCTGGTGAGATATTATTTGTGGAAACGTTTGGGTAACCTGATGTAGTCAGGGTGCATCCTGACCTCCTGTTGTTCCCCCGTCCCTGTCACTGTGGCTTCTGACCATTGGTTTTGCCTATTAATGTGAAGGGCTCTCTGGGTGACTTGCCCTGGCCCTCAGGCATGTAGTCTGGTTTCTGTGCCTGATGATGGTGTCTCAGTATTAGTGAGCCTCAGCTGTACTGTGGGCATCAGGAGTGCCGCGTGAGAAAGGATGTTCTTAGAGAAAGCACGTTCACATGCCGGGAGGCCCAGTGGCTGAGAGAGAGAACACTTCAGCCAGTGCAGAACTTAATGCCTAAAGAAGCGGAGTAATTGTGCAGGATTTCAAATAAGCATGTGTTATTGAACGTTCAGGAAGATACAAGAAGAAAGGGATGTTCGTGAAGCAAGATGGAGGTAATGAGGGAAAGAAAACTGAATGGAGAAGCCACTTAGACTGCATATGTTGCCATTTCTGCACCTTCTTGAAAGCCCTCTAAATGAGAGCCAAGGACTGCACCATTGGACCCACACAAGGATGGTGCCTTGGCCCTTTAGTACTACCAGAAGAACGCCACAGCCTGCAGCTCCCACAGCGAGCAGAAACTCACTTGGCTCGCAGTTCTGGAGGTGCAAAGGCTGAGATCAGGGGTGGCATCTGCCAAGGGCCTTCTACTCTGTGCTAATGTGGTGGAAAGATCCCACAGGGAAGTCGGAGAGGCAGAGGGTCAGACTCTTCTTTCCTAAGGAACCCACACCTGCAGCAGTGGAACTGCTGCCAGATAATGGCACCGTCCAGTCCCATGCAGCGGCTCCTACTCTAAGCTCTTCTTGAGGGTCCCACCTCTTCACATTCTTGCAGGTTTCCAACATATGAACTGTGGTGCATATGTACAGACCATAGCAGAGAGAGAGAGGGGACAACAACAGCTGAGAGATGTGGACACATCTGTGGGAGAAGGAGGAAGATGGAAAGGTTGGGAAAGAAAAGCCGAAATAGCTGAGCCCCAGCCTGGGTTCATGATGCATGACCAAGTGCAGAGCCTTGGCAGGCAAGGGCGAGGCCCACTCTGGGAAGTAGGCTGGCAGAGGTGTGGATAAGGAGCACGACCCAGGCGCCCACCCCATCCATCAGTGGCATCCATGCAGATGGCTCTTGTCTTGCCTCTGCAGAAGCCTGAAGGACCTTCAGTGGACAGAGAGGCTCCCGACCCATGGATGTGAGGCCCTGCAGAAGTCAGGGAGAGGGGCCATTCTAAGACTAGCAGGCTAAGTTCTGAACAGCTCAAGCCCAGGGCCAGGAGGTCTACAGCCAGACCGCTCCTGGGCAAGAAGGTGGAGAGTTTATCTCAGGAAAAGTAGTGGCCTGGGAAAGACCGATGGAGTGCCCATCAAACTCAGGAGTCTTAGGTGAGGGACATCCACCTGAAACATCAGAATGGGACCTTACTAGGAGTGTCTTTGAAGGTAGACGTAAGGTAAGGCTCACTGTGAGGTCATCCTGGGTTAAGATGGACCCCAAATCCAGGAGGTGTCCTTATAAGAGACAGAAAGGAAGAATGCAGAGGCACATGGGGGAGGTGGAGATGGAGCCGCAAACCAGGGAATGCCCAGAGCTGTCAGCAGCCCCCAGAAGTTGGAAGGGGGACAAGAAACCTCCCACATAGACTCAGGGGAGCTAAGCCTGCTGACTTTTGATTTTGAATTTCTGGCCTCCTGAAGGGTGAGTCAGTAAGCAAATGTTGTTTCAAAGCCCCCAGCTCCATGGTAATTTGTTACAGCAGCGCTAGGAAACTCAGACAGAAGGAAGGCAGAGAAGGGCAGGACAGGCAGCGCCGTCTTAGGGTGTGTGTGTGTGTGCACGCACGCGAGTGAGTCTTCTAAAAGCTTAATACTGTATGTTATGCACATATAACTTTGATAAAAAATGGGAATTGATTAGATCTTAGAAATTAAAATATTGAAACAAACCTTATCAGATGCACAATAGCTGTCTAGCTGAAGGGCCAGTGAGCAGGCTGGAGACGGAGCTCGGAAGACCATGGCCCGTGCTGCGCAGGTGGGTGAGTGGAGAGGGCAGCTGGGACAGAAGGGAGGGGAGACTGGCAGAACCAGTACCAGGAGTGTTCCAGAAGCAGACCAGGACTCTGCAATAATCCCTGGATGTCACATGCAGCGTGAGGTCCAAAATTTACAGCAGTCGTCTTGAGATGGTAAGGGAAAATGCTCTGAACTAGGGCTCATCATTCATGCTTTAGTGAGAGGGAGAGCTGAGCCAGAGCCTCTCGAGGTCTCGTGCTGAGGGTCTTCTGCTCCTGGCCCTGGGCGACCCCAGGGACCTCTGCTTTTAGTGGGGAGGTACTGCAGTAGGCGGTAATGTTCACAGACTTCTCTAAGATCAGAAGCTGTACTGGCCTCTCTGGAGTAACTCGACGGTGCGTCCCACAAGGAACACCAGTGTAGACAAGGTGTATGTGGTGTGTTAGAATATTTAAAGTAAAAACTTGCTGGAGTGGGGATATAGCTAAGTGGTAGAGCGTTTGCTGAGTGTGCATGAGCCCTTGGTTTTGACCCTCAGCACAGCAAAAAAGAGAAGAAAAAAGTGTTGAAATAAAACGCCGTGGCTGTGCACCATGGCCCATGCCTATGATCCCAGTTACAGGAGGCTGAGGCAGGAGGATTGCAAGTTTGAGGCCAGCCTGGTAACTTATCACCCCAAATCCCCCCAAAGTGAGAATGTAACCAAAATAGAAATAGATGGCTAAACTTTGAAGCTGTCAGAACAAAAGAATGGAAGAAGAGAACTTGATTATCCTCACAAAGGACGGGGAAGGTGGAGAGCTTGCAAAGAGTGAAGGCACCCTTTCAAGCAGAAGTGTAACTGTGTTGAGTATGATCGGCTTCAGCCGACTAAACCAGAGCATCCCTAGACTGAATTAAAACATCCAGCCGTAGATGTCTCAAACACAGCACAGGGAAAGGACACATGGTGCTTAATTTGTTTTTTAGGCATGAGCACAGCAGCCTCCTCTCAGGACCTTAGGTTAGCTGTGTGACTCATGGGATCTCTCTTTGGCTTCTTTCTTGGGCTGAGGAAAAAGGGGAGGTTTGTGCCACTATTTTATTTGAGCTCTGCAAGAAAAGCCTGTTCTTTATCACCAGGTAACTCTGCTCCTTGGGTACACAGGTTGCCCCTGAGCACCAGTGCTGGTGCAGTTGACTTGTAGAGCTGCCCTCGTTTCCTCTTTCCCAGTGACTTCGGGGTGGTTGTCGTGCGAGAGCTGTCTCGGGCTGTGGGGCCTTGGTGGAGTGGGACCTGTCAGGGGAGCGTTGCTGTGTGTGTTCTGCAGCAGCACTTATCGGGAGGGAGCGTGGGTGTGTGTGAGGTGCTTCCAGTGCTTCTGCACAGAGCATTGGTCATGGCTCATACTATATTTGCTTCTGAACTCATAGATAGGATCGAATTATTTATTGTTGCATCCCTGCTGAACCTTGTTTAGTTGTTTTCTCAGTTACTTTTTAAAAATTGTTTGTAGATCCTATGGCCGGGCTCCAAAGATGATTCACCTGGAATCAAACTTTGTTCAGTTCAAAGAGGAGCTGCTGCCCAAGGAAGGAAACAAAGCTCTGCTCACTTTCCCCTTCCTTCATATCTACTGGACAGAATGCTGTGTAAGTATTGGTTCAGGGAGAAGAAGATGTTGGGAGTGGGCTGAAGCCCGTGGGTGGGTGTGGAAGTCCAGTCTGCCTTTCAGGTCGCCTCTGCACTGTGCTCTCTCATCTTCGTTGCTTTGCGAGATGCGTGGCTGTGTCCTTGGGTGTTTCTGCTCCTGGCCAGTGTGCAGCACTCTGGGATCCCAGTACATCTCAGTTCCCGTGTTCCCTGCTGGTGCAGTCTCATGGTGCCTTGGGGCCATCAGGTTTGATCTGTTTGAGCTGTGTTTAATTCTTACTTTAGTGCCCCTTTCGCGACCCTCCACCTTGTGCTGTCCTTGGTGACCGTCACCATCTCATCTGCTTAGCCATAACCTCTTTCACTGACTGGGTGGCTGTAGAGGGAGCATTCCAGAACCTGGGTGTTTTGCAGCTGTGTATTTATGACCCAGACATAATTCTGGGTCCTTTCTTGCTATGTGGACTCTACTACGCATTTTGCAGCATTTAAGGCACATAAGTCATCACCAGGGGACCTTTTAGCCTGTAGGCTGGGCTGCAGAGGTGTTTTGTGTGTGTGTTTATCGTGTTGGACTCTGGAGACCTGTGCGTGGTTTCCCCTGCACTTCACCCCGTGTGCCTTTTCCCAGCAGAGTCACGTGTGGGCAGCGACATGCTAGTGTGTGTGAGGCACTGCATACTGGGGAGCTCACTGGCCACTCAGCATTCAGAGTTTTTACTGAAGTCAATCACCTGAAACCCTCTGCTTGGAACCGACTAAATTGCAGAAGCAAAGCAGGTGTTAACCCACTGTGCACGCACACAGTATCGGCCCGCTAAGGCCCTCATACTGCAGGCTGCTGGAAACCCCCCCACAGTCCAGGTTCCAGATGTAGCCAGAGGCCTGGTAGGCAGAATGGCCTTCCCAGCCTGCCAGGCAAACCCTCCTCTTCTTGACCCCTCATGCCTAATTCCAGAGCCTGGCTGTTTTGCAGCTGTGTATTTCTGACCCGGACATAATTCTGGGTTTTGATCATAATTTGGATTTTGCCCATTTGCCCAGAATTGTCTGATTTCTTCCTAGTTCTGTTGCTTTCTCCCTTGATGACTAGTAAACCGTCTCTGGGGTGCCACTCCAAGACTTCAGTACCCTGCTTCCTGTCCAGCCTTTTCACACTTACATCTGGCCTCCAGTGGCGGTTCTTTCCTGAGACGCTCTTTACCAAGAGTCCTAAGCATCTGCCCCCCCAATCCTCTACACGGAGGAAGACACAGTGCATGTTCATTTATTCAGGGGTTATGGCCCCTTCCCTGTGCTTATTCTGATGCCCAGGCTGGTCTAGATTTGGCCAGTGAGAGTCACTTCAGCTGACTTCTGTGTCCTTTCAAGCACTTTCCAACTTTTATGCATACCAAGGTATTCTAGGTTCTTGTAGCTTTTTTTTTTTTAATATCTATTTTTTAGTCATAGTTGGACACAAAACCTTTATTTCACTTATTTATTTTTTTGTGGTGCTGCTGAAGATCAAACCCAGGGTCTTGCACGTGCGAGGCAAGCGCCCTGCCGCTGAGCCATAACCCCAGCCCTCTTGTAGCTTTTATTCCAGCTGGACCCAGCTGTTTCTTTGGAGTCCTTGTCCTTGGGCAACACGTGTGCTCTTGGGTGCCTACGGGCATGTTGCTGTCTCTGGCCTCTCGGTAGACAGAGCTGAGAGGGAAGTGTCCAACAGACTGTGAGTCGCTAACAGTGCCTTCCAGCGTGGCCTCCACCCTCAGGCGCTTCCTGTAGCTTTTCCGCATCTGCTTCTCCTCACTCAACAGCATCAGCGTGGATATTATCCACCCACTCCTATAATATGCGAAGGGTAATCTCAGAGCTGCTACACGCACCACGGTGAAACAAGTCCGAGTGGAGCTCAAGCCTTTGTGCCCTTGTGCTTCTCTAGCCTGACAGAGTGCTGCCTAGTCTGTCTGGCTGGCCACGTCCTCCCCAGCTCATCCTTCCCGCGTTTGCCTAGCTACGCTCGCAGGTTGGAAAGTGCAGAACATGTACATGTGCAGAACAAGTGTCTTCCTGATGTCTGGGCCTCCTAACCAGGAGCAAGGGCTCTTGGCTTTGTGCACGCTTGCTTTTGTGTTGTATACTTGCTGTATTTCTTGTTAAATCTGTATGACTTTGTTGCTCTTGTAAATGGGGCTTTTGCTCCCATTGTATTGTCTAGTTATTTTTGTGTATGTGAGGCTGTTGATTGATTTCCTTATTAAGTAACCTTGCCAATTTCTCTGATTGTGGAAATTAGTTTTACCTTTGATTCTCTAGGTCCCGAGGTCTGGGGCTTTCTGATTTGCTATATGCAGAGGGAGAGAGTTTACTTTTTCAGTCTTTGTGACTGGAATTTTATCTCTGATCTGACATTGTCAAATAGCAGAGGAGATGGTGGCTGTCTCTGCCTTGTGCCTGACCTCTATGGTAATGCCTGTTGCCGTTCCCATCAGTGGGTGCTGGCTGAAGGACAGAGGAATGTGCTCATCCATTTTCATTTTCTCAAGAATTCTCAAAGAATACGAGTTGCAGTTGTCAAAGGGTTTGTCAGACTCGGGGGACACAACGCTGTTTCCCCCTGGCATGTCCTGAATTGTTTTTGTGGGTTTCCTCTGTGGCCTGCATCCCTGGGTGAGTCAACCTGGCTAAGGTCTTATTTTCTTAGCATGGCTTTGGAATGGGCTTGCATTTTATTTAAGGCTTCTACAGTCTGTGCTCACAGGTGGCTGGTCTTTAGCTTTTGTTTTGTGTTGTCTGTATGAGGTGCAGGTGTCAGTGTCATACTGGATTCCTGAGTGGCATCTGGGAGTTCTTGTTTTGTGCTTCTGAACAGACTGTTAGGTTGGAGCCGCCTGGTCTTCAGGTGTGCTGGGATTCTGCCCTGCTGGCTGGGCCCACGTCTCTTTTTTTAACTTTTTAGTTGTAGATGGATACAGTACCTTTGTTTGTTTGTTTGTTGTTTTTAGTGTGGTGCTGGGTTTCGAACCCTGTGCCTCATACATGCTAGGCAAGCACTCTACCACTGAATCCCAACACTGGGCCCTGGGTCCACACCCTTTTACAGAGTATTTCCTTGGTAACTTTCTGGGTCCCTTCTGTGAAGTTGGTCTGTTTCAGCCCTTTATTCATTTTAATAAGTTATATTTTCCTTAGAAATTATGCATCTCAGTTAAAGTTTACTTTTACTGAGATGCACATACAAAGAACCCTGTTTTGTAACTTTGAAAATGTGGCCAGGTCTCCCGTTTTCTCTTCTGTATTGTGTGCTCATGTGCTCTCACGCTCTCTCCTTCTTCCTTCCTGAGAGTAGGAGTTCCTTGGTTTTTATTTATTAGTCTGATTTACTATTACTCTCTTTTTTACCTCATTAATTTCTGCTTTCATTTATGTTGTTTCCTTCTTTGTATTTTCTTGTGGTTTACTTTATTCTTTTTCTAGTTCTTTTGAGTTTGAAATGTGTTTATTTTCATTCTTAATTTTTTTTTTTTTTTTGGTGGTGCTGGGGGTTGAACCCAGGGCCAGGTGCAGGCACGGCAAGCCCTCTACCAACTGAGCTGTGTCCCCAGCCTCATTCTTAGGTTTTGATTGATATCAGTCCTCCAAGTCACGAATGTTCCTTTAATTAATTGTTTAAATATATAATAGGGTTTATCCTTATTTTTCAGAAATTCTGTGTTTTGTTAGTATTTCTCATTTTATCCAGTAGTTGTCTAATAGAAAGTTTTTTAGTTTCCAGAAGAAGAAAAATTTTTATTAAAAAATTTCTGATTTTCTTGCATTGTGATCAGAAGTGTTCGTAGGGTGTTTTTGCCTTATGGCACTTAATTGTTCTCTGGGACCAAATGCAGGATGAGTTTGGTGGACACTTTGTGTATCGGGTGTGTCCTCTCGTCTTTAGCCTGCAGTGCTGAAGCCGCTGTCGCGAGGTCTCCTCCCTGTGTTGCTGGGGCGTTGCTGGCTTGGCTGCCACCAGTTGGCCTGTCTTCAGCGGGCAGTGGCGTGGCAGTCTCTGGGTGGTGGGTGTTTCTATTTCTCTTGCATCTTCTGTAGAGAGTCGTGTGTGTGTGTGTGTGTGTTGTCTGGTATGTGGATATTTGTGACTAGCGTGATTTGTGAAATATGTGATTTACCAACAAGGCTTCTACGTAGTGTATCTTGCTTAGGGAAGGTCTTGTCTACCTGAGGATAGTGACTGATTTTCTCCTATGTTTCCTTTTAATAAGTTTAGAACTCGTAGCTTATGTTTGATCTGTTAGCTTCAAGTTATTTTTCTGTAGGTAGGAGCTGCGGGGTTGAGGGTCTGATTTTCTGGTCTTAAGTGGGCAGCAAATTGGCCTAACAGTATTTCATAACAGTCTTTTTTCTATGCATTAGGTATGTCAACTCAGTTTTAAATCAGCACCCTGCATGTATAATATTCTGGACACTTCTGTTGATCATTGTCTAGTTTGAGCTAGAATCAGGCTTTTAATTATTACATTTTAGTAATATGTATTGATATCTCTTCTTTTAAAATAAGCCTCTTGGCTGGTACACATTTTCTCTTCCGCATGGCAAAGGCGCAAATTGTACTTTTGAGCGAGGCTGAACCAGTGTGTCCTGTCCTGCCTGTTCCTCTCTGTTGAGAGGGTGGGTCTTTGCCCCTCAGGTTGAACTTGGGTGGCCTCTGATGTGCAGAGAAGTCACCCAAAGTCATGCTGTGCTTTCCGATGGGCCCCTTGTTCTCAGAACCAGCTGCTCTGCCATGGGAGGTCAGCTCGCCAGGGTATGGATCCCTGGGAAGGCCTCCTGGCCCAGCCTTGCAACCCTGCAGTGGCCACCAGTGGGGTGGAGATGAGCCACTGTGATTGGAATGGGAAAGAAAGAGGGGCAGGAGGGGTTTTGCCTGAGGTCATCACTGTGACTTCTCAGAAGAATCTCAGCAGCTGGGAGTCTTCTTGAGTCTGTGTGCTTCTCCATGCTTTGTGCCTGTTCTTATAGGTTTAGTCACAACATTTTTCATAAAGTCTTGCATTTTTTTGGTACCAGGATTGAACCCAGAGAGGCTTAACCACTGAGCAACATCCCCAGCCCTTTTTCTTTCTTTCTTTTCCTTTTTTTAAAAATATTTTATTTAGAGATGGGTCTCACAGGGTTGCTTCGGGCCTCACTGAGTTGCTGAGGTGGCTTTGAACTTGCGAACCTCCTGCCTCAGCGTCCTGAGCCGCTGAGATTACAGGTGTGGGCCACTGTGCCTGGCACAAAGTTTTGCAGTTTTATTCTTAGGCTGTTTTTGTCGTCATTATGAATGAGATTTTTTTCCTTAAAATTACATTCTATAGGGAGCCTGTTTTTTTAATTAATCTCGACTTTTGTTTATTAAAAAGGTGCCTATACCAGGTGCGGTGGCACATGCCTGTAATCCCAGCGGCTTGGAGACTAAGGCAGGAGGATTGTGAGTTCAAAGTCAGCCTAATCACCGAGACCCTGTCTCTAAATAAAATACAAAATAGGGCTGGGGTGTGGCTCAGTGGTCAAGTGCCCCTGAATTCAATCCGTGGTAACCCCCTCACCTCAAACAAAGGTGCCTAGAGTCAGTTGGCAGTGTCGAGGGCTTTAGTACATGTGACACTGTGTGTAGGCAGTGGTTGCGTGAGGTCAGCCAGCAAGTCCCCAGTCTGGTATGTTCTTGTTTGCAGGAGGGTTTTCTGCTTGTGTGCAGCATGTCCCTCCAGCCTGGGTGGTGCTGCCATGCCTCCTGGGCTTGGTGTCTGTGTGTTGTCGCTGTTAGACGAGAGTACAACACGGACACCACCTTCCCCTCATGCGGGGGTGACTGCTGCGTGCTTCCCACCCCCCTCTGGAGTGGTGGGATCTCACTGGTCTCGGTGCGGCTCTGTTGGTGGTCAGGTCCCGGCTCTTCACTGCGCCTTGTTTCTGAAGGGTCTCTTCACAGGATGGGGACTTGTGGTTTGAGGGCAGCCCTGCCTGGCCTGGAACCTCTGACTTTGGTTTCCAGAGCTTCCTGAGAAGTCTTTCACTTTTGCTTCGGTTGCTTTGTATATAAAGTGTGTTTTTCTCCTTTGGTATTTTAAGATTTTTTTTTTTTACTTTATCACTGGTTTCTAAGTTTGATTAATGATCTGCTTTAGAGTAGATTTCTTCACATTTCTGAAGAGTTTTGGGGTTTTTATAATTTTGATCAAGTTTTGGAAAGTTTTGGTCATCATTTGTTTAAGTATTTTTTCTTCTCCCTTTGGATGGAGCTGGAGAGTGTCGGTGACGACTGACGGAGTGGCCCCTGGCCTCAAAGTCCCACAGTAGTTCACTGGATCACGCTGGTGTTTTCTCAGACTCCCCACGCCCACCCCCGTTTCACTTGGACAGTCTCTTCTGTTTGCCGTCCTGTCAGCTCGTCTTTTCTTCTGCACTGCTCCGTCAGTCCAGTTTTCTCCTTTAGACATACTTTTTGTCTCTAAAGGGTGCCCAGGGGTCTCTCTCTCCCACCTCAGCCCACTGCTCCTGGAGCCCGCGAGCTGTGCTGTGGGGACAGTGTGTGGTGCTCTGGTCCTTCCGGGACCTGCTTCTTGGGAGTCGTCTCCTTGTTGTGCAGCGTGCCCTTCCTCCTTTGTCTGCCTGCCACTTCTTATTAGACAGACATAGTGGACTTTATCTTGTTGGAGCTGGGTGTTGTATTCTTCTAGATGTTCTTGAGCTTTATTCAGTTGAAATCGTTTGCTGAGTTTGGTCTTTTGGGTGTAGCTTCTGACTTGCTGGGACTGGAGCAGGGCAAGTCCAGGACCATTTCTCACTGCTGTGGCAAGGCTGTCCCAAGCTCTCTGGCTTTTCATCTGTGGCAGCAGACCTGCTCCTGCCTTGGGTGGGTGCCCAGCACTGTGCCTTGGGTGCTGGCTGATGGCCTTGTCCTGCCTTGGACAGTCCTCACATGTGCTTGTGATGGGTCTCTGGGAACACAGAGGGTTTTTGTGCTGGGTACTCTCTCCGTCCATTTGCTGGCCAGTGTGGTCTGGCCACCTGGACTCTCACTCTGCGTCCTGTACCCGGGGAGTCTGTCCGCCTTTTCCTCCGCTCCCCTCCCTTGTGCCGAGGGCGGGGATGTCCACCGTAGCTAGCTGGAACACTTGGAGGGCCCCTGTCTGTTCTTCATCTCTCAGGAGCCGCTGTCCCTTACTGCCAGGGTGTCGACTCCCACTTGTGTTTCTTGGTCTTGACTCGATTGTGTCAGATGCCACGTGTAGTGTATCTGGTCCCTCCCTCACCTTGCCAGAAGGAGAGCCCCGCTTCCTGGTTGGTTCTGTGCGCACTCCTTTCTTGGTTTTCAGTGGAGAGTATTCTGTTCCTGTCCTTGTCAACTGGAACACTCAGTTGTCTCTGACTTGGTTCCTGTGAGCTTTGGAAGTGCACTTACTCTCAAGCTCATCTCGTCCTCCCCTTGTCTCATCCTGGGGTCCACGACTCTGAGAGACCCTGTGTCCTCTTGTTGGAAAACAGTGCTAAGAACCCACGATCTAGAGTGAGATGTGCTCTGTGCTAGGTACTCTCAACCAGCTCCGCTGGAGAGCGTGTCATGTGCACATGTGTGCACACCCAGGCGGGCACGTTTTCCCCTGCTGTTCCTGTCCATATGTGGTTGTCCATGTGCAAGCACTCGTTGACCATGATTCAGCCAGTGCAACATTCCCACCGTGCCGGTTCCCGGCTCCCATGGGAGAACCTGGCACGTGTTCCCTGCTGAGGGTTTGCTTATTTGAGTCACCCCGGTGGTGAACCCTCTTCCCGTCTCTGCTGTCCTGCTCCTCCAGGTGATGCCCCAGCCCTACACTTGGCTGACCGCATGCTGGACCCTACCCTCGGCATGCCTTGCTTGATCTGTGCTCATCTCCAGCAGGGATGCCCTCTTTGCCCTGCTTGGTCTCTGAACCCTGTGTCTCATGTCACTTGGAGTCCCACAGTTTGACACATCTCCCCCTACTGCCACCTGGGCATCCTCCTTACACAACTGAGCTCTGGCCACTGGGGTGGCTCCTCCTCGTGGAGGCCTCCCATCCACAGAGGCCTGGGCTGCTGCCCCATCATCTCCTGTCCTGATATGTTTCTCCTCCCTCATCGGGGCTCTTCCAGTGTTCATGTTCCTGTCACCTCCCTGCCTCAACTTGGTTTCCTAAGGGTTCCTGAGTGACTTTGGAAACCCTCTTTGCTCGCTGTGAGGAGTGACAGCTGTCTAGAGTGAGCTGATTCGCCTCAGGGTTGTTTGGAACACTACATTCCTCCTCTGTCTTGCCCTTTCTCTTGGAAGGTCACCTCTGGAGAGTCCCTGAAAACCGGCACTGAGAGCTGCTCTGGTGTCCCTTCAGGGTGCAGCTGCTCCTTCTAGTGCAGAGACACCTCCAGCCTGGAACTAGGTGGGGGTGGCCATGGGGGCACCTGTGGGCTTTCCAGCAGAACAGAGAGGACCAGGAGCCGGGCGATGCGCTGCAGTCCTGGACTGCAGTCCTCTGGCCTTGGGTCTCCCTTCCAGAAACAGTGTGCGTGGTACATGTGAAATTCAGAGTCCTGAGACCTGCTGTGCCTAGGAGAATGTGCCGCACATGATTAAGGTGCTACTGCATATTTACTCTCGGAAAACGAGTTTGTTTGAGGGGGTACTGGGGATTGAACTCGGGCACTTGACCACTGGGCCACATCCCCAGCCCTATTTTGTGTTTTATTTAGAGACAGGCTCTCACTGAGTTGCTTAGGGCCTCACTGTTGCTGAGGCTGGCTTTGAACTCTCAACCCTCCTGCCTCAGCCTCCTGAAGAATATGGATTTTTGCAAGATGGTTTTCCTTTTAATTTCTTTTTTTGAAGAGAGAGAGAGAATTTTTTTTTAATATTTATTTTTCAGTTTTTGGTGGACACAACACCTTTATTTTATTTTTATGTGGTGCTGAGGATTGAACCCAGCTCCCTGTGCATGCCAGGCGAGCGTGTTATCGCTTGAGCCATATCCCCAACCCTCCTCTTAATTTTTAAGTAAAGATCTTTTTGGGTCATATTTGTTTCTAATTTAAACCAGGATGTATTTTCTTAAATCAGTGTAGAAATGATCAGTACTGCCTTTTGGTACTTGCTATTCAGTGATTTAGCCAAAGATGGCACTAGATATAGGATTTAAGATTTGACTCATTTGTGATCAGTCAAGCCAGCACACGTCTGCACTGTTCATGTTCTTGGGGACATGGGGCGGGATGGTATGGAGGAGCTGCTGAAGAGGGGAAAGTAGGGCTGGCGTTTGGCTCTGTGGGGGAGCACCTGCCTTGCATGTGCAAGGTCCGGGTTCAGTCCCCAGCACCACAAAAGTAAATGTGTAAACAGTAAATGAGGGGAAAGTAGGTATTTGAATATGGCCATTGTTTCCAAAGATTTTTATATGCTCAGTTTTGAAATGAGATATGTCTTGGTTTTAGATTTTCTGAAAGTAAACGGAATTAGTGTCTGCTGAGTGGATTTATGGCTCATACGGGCCATTACAGGTAAAATCACCATTAAGAAGGAGAGTGGGATTTCCTGGTTTGGGTTGGGAGAGAACTGTCTGACCGGGTGCTTCTCTGTAGGAGGGTGCTTTCTGGCATGCTCAAGTGTGGGACGTGAGGGGACAGAAGAACCGGTTGTGAGGAGCAGTGCGGCTCCTTGCTAGCTCCAAGTTGGAAGGCCTTGAGGGCCGTGCTGAAGGCTGTGAAGGCCTTGCAGGTTGGAGCTGGTCTGGGGGCTTACGTAGAAAAAAGGTTGTGGGGCAGCCACAGGAGGCCACCCTGGGGTGGTGCAGGCACAGAATACCACAGGGGTCTGGCCAGCACAGGGCGGTGTGGCAGTCCTGTGTGATGGGCACAGAGCCCCTGTGGTGGTGCTGGGCTTTAAAATCCCTGGTGGCTTTGTGGACAGCATTGCCATTGGTGTCCTTCCTGGCTCACAAGCCCTTGCTGCTCACAAGCCACTGATGTCCTGGGAGAGTGCTCTGGGACAGGTGCCAAGCTGTGCACAGCACCCAAGCTTGGTGTCCTGGTCTCTTATCCCGTTCCAGTGTGCTAGCACGCTGTGGCCACTTACGTCATCTAACACATGTGCTGTGTGAGCTGAAGGAGTAACTCACTCTCACAGTGGCGTGTTCATTTCTAGGATACAGAAGTGTACAAAGCTACGGTGAAAGATGACCTCACCAAGTGGCAGAACGTCTTGAAGGCCCATAGCTCTGTGGACTGGTTAATAGTGGTGGTTGAAAATGATGCCAAGAAAAAAAACAAAACCAACATCCTTCCCCGAACTTCTATTGTGGACAAAATAAGAAATGATTTTTGTAACAAACAGAGCGACAGGTAAGTGTATCTTTACATTTTCCTCATTTGGTTGGTTCTGGATGATTGCTGGCTTCCTGGGTGGTAGCAAATGTCGACTCATCAGGGTTTGGGGAACAATGGGGAGCACTGATCCCACCCTCTGAAATTCCTGTCAGGCCAGGGAGCTGTAAGCGGTCACCCCCAAGTGCCACTGGGAGCAGAGGCTCCTGGCCCTGAGCCTCTGGGAAGCCTACACGGTGGACCCTTTCTGCAGCCTGACAGTGAGACGTCTCACAGTCTTTGTGTCGAGCAGCGTTCCTTAAACTTTTGTTTTTAAGGCTATGGGACTGCCTTCTTGTGTTTACTGTGGTCAGCCCTGTGAAGAGCCCACACAGGGAGCTGTAAGTGTTGCCTTTGCCCCAGGGCCTACCTTGCCATCTGCTGCTCCTGCGTCCTATCTGCATGCTGCTGCCTCTCTACCTGGCTGTACCACTGATGGCCATGTGTCCCAGGCTGGCCCTTGACCTCACTGGCCACAGTGCTGAGCTGTTCTCTGCCTGGCGTGACAGGTCATCATCCCATGGTTACCATTCCATGGTTACCACATGGCAGGGGCTGCCAAGGCGGTTTCTGGTGCTGTGCAGCTGCGGGAGGGGAAGCCTGCCTACTCAGGGAGGGGTCCTGGGGCAGGAGGCCCTGTACGCAGCATGGGGGGGGCGTAAGGAAGGAGCAGGGGTGAACGGTCTGGAGTGCCAACCAGCCAGGGCCAGTCCACGTGTCGGCGGTACCCCAGTGAGCTGGGATTCTGGGCGCCTTTCACCTTCCACACAAAACCAGGCACATGGTCATGTTCAGACTTGATGAATATGTGGCTCAAATCCAACGTTGCCGTGTGGAGACCGTCTCACTTAGTGTCACGCATCCTACACTTAGTGTCACGCAGCCTACGCTCACGGGAGGTTTTCTTAAGGAGTACTTGGTGCTAGTCAGCCACATTCTCTGGCACTGTGGCTGAGCATCTGTCCCCGGAGCTCAGCATGCTCACGGATGTCTTGAGCAGAGCACGCAGTGGGGACTTGAGAGCCCAGCTGCAAGGAAGGTCTGTGTCGCGGGTCTGAGCGGAGAGTAACGCTGAGGCCATCAGTCGGACTGAGCCAGTTTCCAGTTGTGTGATGTTTTTTCCAAGGTGCCTGTTGCTTACTATTAATCATGTTTGCAGTTTTTACTTCAGTGCCAAAAGTATGCTTCTACTGAGCCCATTTAAAAATAACTTGTTTTTTGATGACTATTCTTTTGTATTTACAACTTGCTGAAAATTTAAAAAAAAATTTTGTAGTTGTTGATGGACAGCATGCCTTTATTTTTTTATCTTTATGTGGTGCTAATGATTGAACCTCGTGCTTCACACATGCGAGGCAAACACTCTGCCAGTGAGCTACAGCCCTAGCCCAGCCCAGCCCAGCCCAACTTACTGAAATTTTAACATTTCGTTCTCTGTAAGTTAAACATGGCTTATTGCATTTTGATTTGCATTAAATTGCAGTCTTTTTTTTTTTTTTTTTTTTTTTTTGGTACTGGGGATTTGGTACTTGGGGCCACTAAACCACTGAGCCACATCTCCAGCCCTTTTTTGTATTTTATTTAGAGACAGGGTCTCACTGGGTTGCTTAGGGCCTTGCTGTTGCTGAGGCTGACTTTGAACTCGTGATCCTCCTGCCTCAGCCTCCTGAGCTGCTGGGATTACAGGTGTGTGCCACTGCTCCCAGCCAACTTGCAGTCCTTTAACAAAACTGTGTGTATGTGTGTGTGTGTATTTTTTTTTGTGTGTGGTGCTGGGGATTGAACCCAGGGCCTTGTGCATGTGAGGCAAGCATTCTACCAACTGAGCTACATCCCCAGCCCGACCTATCTATATTTTTAAACATAAAAGCTGGATTGAATTCTCATAAATTTGAAGATAGTGATCTCTAGTGACACTTGTCTTTTAACAGCATAATGTCTATTCTTTGAAAATATGGCCCTGAAGTGGCTTACCGTGTTTTTAGCTTTGTACATGTGTTTAGTTTTTTTATCATGTTACATGTTCTTGGTAGTCATTGGACTTTCCAGGTTTTTTCATTATGCATTTATACATTTAAGGTGATATAAAACTATACATAATATTATACTTGCTGTTTTCACTTAATACATTGTAAAAATTTTCCATGAACAATAAATGTGTTTCTGTACCTTTACTGTTAGTGAGTGTATAATATTCCATAGTATTAAATCTACCATAGGTTATTTATAGTCCTCTGGGTCTGCAGGTCATTGTTAATGTTATGAACATCTTTCTAGCTCACTATAGTGAACATCCTTATTTCCTTAGGGTTAATTCCTTAAAGGAAAGTTGCTTGGTTAAAGGTTTGTGTATTTTTCAGACTTTGGGCAAATGCTAGAGAGTCTGAGTCTGACTGGTTGGTAGCTGCTGCCTTCTTGGTCTGCTGTCCATCCCCCACTCCCTTAGCTTTCTAGGCTCACCCTTTTCCAGTTCACCCTCTGGGCTGGTGAGGACTTTCTGAAGTTTAGTTCTTTTTTATTGAAATAGTGAGGGCCGAGAGATAGGGGAAGTTGGAGGGCTCAATCGAAGTTGGTGCGTGGTGACTCTTTCCTGTCTGGGTGATAAGCACAGGTTACCAAAGGAAAGGCTGTTGGTGGTCAGCATGTCCTTTCCATCCCACTGTCGGTATGCAAGAGAGTTCTTGTGTGGTCAGGAATGATGTTGATAATTATGACCCCTGGGGATACCTTAAGGATGCGTTGCTGAACTGAGGGACTAACAGTTTGTACAGTGAAGAAAGACACTTCAACTCCTGGGGACCTCAGGAGTGGCTGGTGCTGGCCCCACCTCTTAGGGAAGGATCCGTATCCCGGGGACAGGGGCCGGGATGACTCAGTGTTCTTGGTTCTGATGACTCACAGGGTGGACGTGTAGACTGGTGCTGTTTCTCCCGTTTTGTTTTGCCTGCTGGTGGGTAACAGCGTGGGTTCAGCCAGTTCCTACCGGGGCTGTGCTGGGGCACAGAGAATGCGAATCCAAGCAGCAATTCATTTTGCTCCTTGTTGATAGCTCACATAAAATATTTACTAGAGATGTTGACACTCATAGTATCAAGGTCTTAAAATCACTTTTGTGTTCAGGTTTCCTCTTTAAGAAGAAAGATCATGTTAGCAAGGCTAAGTAGAGGAGCCTTTTCTCCTACTGTAACGGTAGCGCCTTGGCATTTCAGCACCATAGTGCAGTCTTCTCTAGTTAAATGCCTCAGGCCTGTGTGAAGCTGTGATCTAGTGCCTGTTTATCAACACTCCTTGAGGAGCTCAGGCTAATGGTAGGGGCAGATCTGTAGCCAGGGCAGCTTTACCTGTGGCCCTTCTGTGTGACCACAGAGCAGAGTAGGCTTAGTTGAAAGTCACCTCAGGGTGAGCGGGGTGCCCAGGGGTGCAGGAGGGCACAACAAGTTCGGTGGCCCTGGGCTGCAGTGAGAGGAATTGAGACAGATGCTGAGGTGGGCCCTGGTCCCCTCTGCTGGGTGGAGAGATCCAGATTTCATCCTGTCTGTGAGGAGCCAAGGATCCTGAGGGGCAAGCTAAGGAGGGCTGGGTCACCATACTTGATGAAGTCCCCCGTGGGTCTGAGGTCCAGGGCCCCTTGGGAGTCCCTCTCCCCTCTAGTTCGCTGTGTGTAGACTGCCCATGTGGCAATAGGCTGGCTTGGCCCCTGCCTGTCACACAGTTTTCACTGGTGTGAGGAGGAGGGAAGGAGGGCAGGAGGGATGGAGGAAGCCTCACAGATGGGCCCCGGTGTCTTTGCAGGTGTGTTGTGCTGTCCGACCCTTTGAAGGACTCTTCTCGAACTCAGGAATCCTGGAATGCCTTCCTGACCAAACTCAGGACATTGCTTCTTATGTCTTTCACCAAAAACCTAGGCAAGTTTGAGGATGACATGCGGACCCTGCGGGAGAAGAGGACTGAGCCGGGCTGGAGCTTCTGCGAGTACTTCATGGTGCAGGTACCTGACTCGTGGTTCCCGCCCCATGCCCCCCCTTCCTAAGCGAGGCAGCCCTCCTGGGTGGTTGTCACGGGCCTGGTTCTAAGACCAGATGGCACAGTGGCCAAAGCGGACACTCCATTCCTGGTTGGAGAAGCAGAGGGTGGAGATGGTGTCTGAAGGGGTCCTGCTGCCTTGGGGCTCTGCACTGCTTCCGAGACGAGCTTTTGTCTGGCCTTAGGGGCCTTCTGGGTGTCTGCTGTGAAGCAGGCGGAGGGTCCCAGCCTTGGGGGGTGGACCTGAGCTGGAGGTCCTGTTCCCTACCTGCTGTGCCTGGGCATTGTGACTAAGGATGGCTTCTGTAAACGTGTCCTCCATGGTTTTGTTTTGTGACCTGGGTTCCAATAAAGACTTGGGTTAAACTGGAGCTTTATTCTAATTTGCTAAAATGTTTGGGCTTTTAAAATCGTAGTTTCTAGTCAGTTCTTTTTCCCTGTTAAGAAAATTCTTCAACTCAGGGACGTGTAGCAGTTGCATTTGGGAAGGGAAGCCCTCCTGACACAGTGGAACGTGACAGGTGTGTGGCAGGGTTCCGTGCTCTTGTCCAGCATCTCCTAAGGAAAAAAGCCCAAGTTTCACTTGTAGATATAATTTAGTTGGTTACTGAAGAAATAGTGCCCTTTGAATAAGTACAGGACCCATTCTGATGAACAATTTTGAATGTTATTTTTTATTCCGGGGCTTACGTCTTAGGGATGTGAAGACTTGGTACGCGGAAGGGGATCTGAGCATGCTAGCAATGCTCTGAGTGATCGCTGCATTGCAAACCTTTCCGATTGTCCTGGCCCTTCACTCTTCAAGCTTATTGGAAAGAGAGTGGCCACAAGAAGGGAGGGTGCTGGACTAGGGTGGAGGTGCAGTGTGAGCCCTGAGATGGATGGGTGGGTTCAGAAACGTGGACTGTGTGAGGGTTAATGTGCATGTGTGCACTTCCTTCTCTGGCCTCGGACAGGCCCAGCAGCAGCAGTACTGCAGAAGCAAGGGGCACACGTAGTGCCCAGACCTTGGTTTCTAAACTCCATCCTCAGGTAACAGGGAGCAGAGGTCCTTGGAGAAGTGGTTTATAACTGGGTTAGGGTAGGCAATACACGGGAGGGTCCTGGATACCAGGGAGTGAGGAGTACACAAAGGGACCAGGCTCCAGAGGCTATAGGCGTCACCCGAGGGAGCTGCTGAAGGCCACGGCTGCAGTAGGTGAGGACAGGGTTGGGCGTGACCCAGGGAGCACAGTTCACCTCCATTCACGTGTTCCTGGGGGTACGTAGTTGGTTATAAAGTCAGCAGAGCAGGAGGTTCAGCTCTTCCCTCCAGCACCCAGGCCAGGAGCAGGTTCATCATGTCACAGTGAGAGACCCAGTGCAACCCTGAACCAACCAGTCCAGGCCAGCAGCGCCTGCAGTGAGACCATCAGCACGGTGACCTGCTTGTTAGGAGGGGTGAGAAAGACACGTCGTCCTTGCTAGAACAGTCTCATGGCAGTCACAGAAAAACACCAAATGGACTCAGGTGAAAGGACACTAGGCAAAGTAACACCAGCCTCTTCCAAGGTGCCATGGTCAGGAAGGACCACAGAGACTGAGGGCAGTGGCAGCCGGGCGCCCTGTGGAATCCTGGTGGGATGCGGAGCAGAACGAGGGCTGATAGTAGGAGAGCTGGCAGGATTCAAATGAGGCTGCCTGCTGGACAGTGCTGTGCTGGGATTCCTGTGTGTGATCACGGAACTCTGCTAGATGTTGACGTTTTGGGAAATGGACGAAGGGCTGGATGGAGATGGACACCATTTCAGGGGCAGCACTTCTGTGAGTCTAAAATGAGCTCATTGGTGCAGATGAGCGAGGAGAAACCTCTGACCCATGCTGTGGGCGATGGGCTTTGAGGACATTGTGCTCAGTGGAAGAAGTCCGCGAGGACAGACACTGGGAGACTGTCTGGCTGAGTTCGGACCAGTGCAGTTTGTGGCCAGTAGGGGAAGGTGCCAGCAGCTGGGGGCCCTGGGGAGTCATGGTCTAATGGGGACAGAATTTCCGTTTGGAAATGGGTCACACAGCAGTGTGCATGTGCTTAGCACTGCTGAACTGTACAGTCAAAATGATTGATACGGTAGATGTTATCACTATTGAAAAAGTTAACACTGCAGTGCTCATTCTCAGGAGGACCTCACAAAGAGAAGAAAGAAAGGGCAGGGTGCCAGAGGAGTCCCCTGTGAGCACGCCCGCCCGTGTGTGGAGGGCTGCAGGACACAGGGCTGGGTCTGTAGGGAGCAGGTCAGGTCGGGTGGAGCGTCACAGCTGGCATCGAAGCCTGCTGACCGTGCTGGGCCTCTAGTGCATGCCTTACAGACAGAACTCTAACCCTCCCACAGAGACCTCAGCCCAGGGTGCCATGAGCCCAGCTGCAGCTGGAAAGTGGTACCTAGCTGTGGACGTTGCTCAGGACCTCCAGCACAACCCGGACCGTGCCAGTGTGTGTCTGTGTGTGTGTGTGCACACCCTCCTGGCTCTGCCTTAAACCTGCCGTGGAGGAAATCAGAAAAAGGTCCTTCCTGCCTGCCTCTGTACGTTTTTCCATTCAGTGCGTGGCAGGTTGTCCTAGGGCTAGGGCCAAGTCCATATGCAGCTTTGGTGAGCTCGTGGCCCACACACTGGTAGGGATGCAAGCCCTGGGAGCAGAGCTGGCTATGGAGGGCCAGGGCAGGCTCGGAGGAGGATGGCCATGCTACAGGAGGTGTGGGGCACCTCATTGAGCTGGTGACGGCCACACCTGGAGGAAGCTGCAGAGCAGGCCTCGTGGGCATGTGAAGGAAGCGTGAGGAAGTCCCACAGGCAGGGATGTGTGGGGACGAGGGAGCTGTGGTGGTGCTGAGTGAGGTCCCAGGGTGGTGCAGGGAGGGGGGCTGACCTTGGGGCTTGGGAATCTCTCACAGACTCGGGACTTCTCCACATGGGATGGGTGGCTGTGACGGAGGTGACACTGGGAGGTCAGGGCGGGAAGACTGTAGTCAGGCTTGGACGTGCAGGCGTGAGGTCTGCTGGGCACCCTGGAGACGTATTCAGCTCGCAGATGGGGCCGGGTTTTCTTGAGGCATAGTGCTGTGTGAGGCCGTGCCCTGGTACACTCACCAGAAGGGAGTAGAGGGAGCGTGGGGGACCTGCAGCGGAGAGCCTGAGGGGACCAGAGGGACCGCAAGCAGGAGCTGCAGCACAGGGGCAGGGAGATGCGGGTGGCGTGTGACAGGCGAGAAGGGCCACATGGTGGCGTGCGTGTCCTCCTCTTGCCCTGCTGCTCTCTGGTCCCTGTCCCTGGTGTGCGCAGGTGCTGGCGTCACCAGGGGACTTTCTGCTCTGGTGGGGGGCATCACTTATGCGCTGTGTGCTCCTCTCCTGCCCTTCACTGCCACGTGCGGCTTCAGAAAGCTGACTGACGTCTCTTGGGCACAGGAGGAGCTCGCCTTTGTCTTTGAGATGCTGCAGCAGTTTGAAGATGCCCTGGTGCAGTACGATGAGCTGGACGCCCTGTTCTCGCAGTACGTCGTCAACTTCGGGGCCGGGGGTGAGTAGATGTTGCAGCGAGTCTCTCCTCAAGTCTTCCCACTCCCAGGTAGTCTGCTTACCCCACGTTCAGTCACTGTTCGTGGTTGTCATGCAAACTACAGAGGATATGGTCTCACAGTTCCTCAGGGTGTAACTGGTCACTCTCACTTTTAGGAGAGTGGAAAAGCACTTCACAAGCTGTTTGCAGGTGTGAAGTCTTATTTCCACAGCTTAGCTGCCTGCTGCCGATGCTTCTGATTGCAAGCCTCCTATTACCATGCAAGTGGACGTCTCTCTTGGTTTGGTTTGTAGTACTTGAAGCCCATCGCTGTGAATTTTATGTGACCACCGTAATGGGCATTCATCAGTCTTTTAAAAACCTTTAAGTAGCTGGGCGCGGTGGCGCACGCCTGTAATCCCAGTGGCTTGGGAGGCTGAGGCAGGAGGATCACGAGTTCAAAGGCAGCCTCAGCAACTGGTCGAGGTGCTAAACAACTCAGTGAGACCCTGTCTCTAAATAAAATACAAAATAGGGCTGGGGATGTGGCCCATTGTTTCAGTGCCCCTCAGCTCAATCCCTGGTAAACCCCACCCCTTCCAAAAAATATTAATTAATTAATTAATTAATTTAGGGCAATTTAAAACACCAAAGCAAGCCCAGACCAAGCGTGGCGGCCGAGTGATGAGCTTGCTTTAGCACACTGTCGATGGTCTTCACATGCCAGGCACAGTTCTAGTACAGTGAGGAACTCGTCGCCTCCTTCATGGAGCATTCATGGAAGAGAAAATAAATAACAGTAGGCAAAGACCATGGGAGGGGACACATTGAGACAGGCAGCTGGGACACCTGCTCTGGGCAGGTCGCTTTGACACAGAGACCTCCATGGAACGTGGGAGTGACCATGAGGACCCTTGGGGGAGGATCTGGCAGGAGGTGCTGCCTAGTGGGCAGTCACCAGTGTGCACTTCAGCAGCCCAAGCAGGAGTTGGCAGCGGTGAGTGAAGGTGCCGTAAGCCTAGCTGGTCAGGTGTATAGTAGTGCCACACACCAGTGTCAGCCGTTCCTTACAGGAGCAAAAAGGACCTGGCAGCCACACCTCTCTTTTGGAGTGAGAAAAATAGATTAAACAAGTTTTTCAAAGATTGAATGACTTGGGGCTGGAGTCGTGGCTCAGCGGTAGAGCGCTCGCCTAGCACGTGCGAGGCGCTGGATTTGATCCTCAGCACCACATAAAAATAAGTAAATAAAGGTATGATGTCCAACTACAACTAGAAAAAAATATATAAAAGATTGAATGACGGTAGAGCTCCACATTTAGTTTAAGATGGTATTTGAGTCTCAGGGCTGTGAGTTAAAATGGCAGCCTTGTTGACATGTTGACTCGCTAGGCTTTTCCCCTCTGTTGCTGCTGTCTCCTCCGGTGCCTGCTCTTCTGTCCTCTGGGAGCTGCATGATGTGGTTGATTTAGGGAAATAAGTCAAGGGAAACCTGATGAGTAATGAAGACAAAACACCTGGATGGTCAGGTGAGCAGGCTGCACTGTAGGTAAAGGTGAGGCCGCCTCCACGCTCCTCCCAAGGCCTCACCTTGACTGGCCCAGAGCCTGGGGTGTTCCCGACTCGACCTCTCAGCCTCTGCCTGGCTGCCCAGGTATTCTGTTCCCACTTAGGACCCCCTGGGCCTGGTGAGATGGTGTGCCTTGCTGCCTGGGCTCTCAGACCCTGTGCTCAGCCGTGGGAAGCCAGGACCCAGAGGCCTGTGCTCATGGAACCACCCCATCCTAAGGCCCTAGCCGGTGTATGGTGTGTTGGCAGAGAGTAACTGGTTGCAAAGCTGCCGGCTCTTCCACGTGGGCTCCTGGTCCTGAGCAGGAACCTCAGCCAGGTGAGGTACCTGTGGTCAGCAACTTTCATGATGTGTATTTGTTTAGATGGTGCCAACTGGCTGACTTTTTTCTGCCAGCCGGTGAAGAGCTGGAATGGACTGGTCCTCCGCAAGCCCATAGATATGGAGAAGCGGGAGTTGATACAGAGGCAAGAAGCCACCCTGTTGGACCTGCGCAGTTACCTGTTTTCACGCCAGTGCACCCTGCTCCTCTTCCTGCAGCGGCCGTGGGAGGTGGCTCAGCGGGCCCTGGAGCTGCTGCACAGCTGTGTGCAGGAGCTGAAGCTCTTGGAAGTGAGTTAGCTCCTCTCCCCACTTACTTGCCTTGGACTCTCCCCACAGGAAGCTGAACTGTGGCCTTCCCCCAGACTCTCCCTGCTGCAGAACCGGCTGCTTTTTCTGCATGTCCTTGACTTTTAGTTGATTGTCTGCTTAGTCACTTTTGGCATAGATCAGCTGCTCAGAAGTCTAGTTTCTACTCTCCCCGTGGTGACGTCCACGCTGGCCAAGTCAGCCTCTCAGGTCGGGGTCTCCGTGTAGCTTGTGACTGTGGTGACACCAGGGGAGCAGCCTTCCCTGATAGATGTCACTTACCTGAAGGGTACTCGCTGGATTTTGTATATGGACATTGTTTCAGGACACCCTTCCCAGATAGCTGGTTATGGGCATGGACGTGTGGGTAGCAGGGCGTGAGTGACCTGGCAAGCTATGTTGGTGACAGTGACATAAAGCTTACTGGATGACAGGGGTGTGTGTATGTGCGTTGAAGAGTAAGGCTTTAGACTGATCACCTGTGCTGATACACAGGGCTGTGGGCCCTCCCTGCCACGGAATCATGGGCTGTGGTGCGAGAGGATTTCGTAAGCCTCTGTACCCAGAAGAGCACAGGTATGCCCATGTGGAGTGCCACCTGCCGTTCTGAGCACTCACACACGTCCCCACCCATTGCCCTGTTAGACCTCTGAGTGGGCGAGGTGACTTCCCCAGGTCTAGGAACTGGACCCAGCCAGCATCCAGGCCAACCAAGTCCCATCATGGGAGGTCCCCCCCCGCCAGGTGCCCAGGGGACACAGCTGTTGTCAAACCCTGGGGGAAGGTCTCAGAGCTTGCATTTACTCTATTGACTAAAAGTTTGGCAGGAGGGTATTTTATGATAGAATAACTTATTTTTTGTACCCTAGAATACTAAATAATAGGCCTGATACTTAGTTTGAAATCCTCTTAAAAAAGATTTAATCAGGGGCTGAGGCTATAGCTCAGTGGGAGAGTGCTTGCCTAGCTCATGTGAGGCCCTGGGATTGATCCTTAGCACCACATTAAAACAAAACAAACAAACAAAAAACAAATAAAGGCATTCTGTCCATCTTTAACTGAAAAAAATTACAAAAAAAAAAAAAGATTTAATCATTTAAAAAAAAAATTTTTAGTTGTAGATGGCACAATAACTTTATTTTATTACTTCTAATATGGTGCTGAGGATCGAGCCCAGTGCCTCAGACATGCTAGGTGAGTGCTCTGCCACTGAGCCACAACCTCAGCACTTAAATACTTTTTTAACCTAAGTGAAGAGAAATTATTTTAGTTAATTTCTAATGGAGAAATTCTTAATTCAGAGCCTCAGCTGAGTCACAAACTCAAAAATTTATAATTTTCATCCAAGTATTTTTCTTGTAAGTCCAGCAAATGAGGAAAAATGCCACTTTTCAATCATTTTTCACCTTGAAATGAGATATACTTGGCCACCTAGGACTGTATGGCTGTAGGGAGTCTGCTTTGGTGCCCACCCTCAGGGTGTTGGGGCCCCAGTGCCTGGTAGAACAGAGCTCCCTGGCCCATGTGTGCAGGAGTCAGCACCTGATGGAGGTCTCATCACTGAGGGGAGAGCCCAGGAGGCTCAGACGTGGCATGGAAACCAGCACAAGCCCAGGGCCGTGACCTGTTTGGGGTGAGCGTTGGAAAGCCTGGAAGGATGGTGCAGACCAGTGTCTGGCCCAGTCATAACTCTAATATTTAACCATCTTCCTCATATCTTCTCTGTGCCTCGGACCCAGTGCAGTAGTAATGCACCCTCCAGCCTGCCAAAGGAGGGGACCAGCTCCCAGAGCCAGGTGGGACCTGGGCAGAGCCCACAGTGTGTGAGCCAGCTGCCTGTGGCCTCTGGGGAGGGAACTGCTGGTCCCAGGCAGCTCTTCAGGGAAGGAGCGAGGTGCCTGCCACTGCATCCTTGTCTTCCTGTCCCTGATCTCCCCCAGGCTTTGTGAACGCTGGGAGGCCTCAAGTGCACTGATGAGTACCTCCAGCTTCCCCAGCAGGGCCAGTAGGGAGGGTGTGAAGTGGCCGAGAGGTGGGCTGTGACCTACAGAGGGAGTGGCCTGGCGGCCCTTCTTCTGAAGGCTGCTCTGGCCTCCCGTGTGCCACGGTTCTGCCCGTGGTGTTTGCAGAGTGTGCGGTGGCTGTGGAAGACGTTCACTACTAGGCAACATGCTCCCGCCTCTGTAACGCTGCGCAGCGCTGAGTTCTGCAGCGCCTCTGGCTGCGAGGGAAGGAACCCGTCAGCTACCCCTGATCCCTGGAGAGAGGGCTGTGAGGTTATGAGGACTCCGAGCCTCCTGGGGAGTGTTGGGCTGGCCCTGAGCACATGCTGCCCTTGGCTCCCTGGCCTCCTCTGCTGGTGGGGGAGTGGCCCCCCTGGCCTCCTCTGCTGATTGGGGAGTGGCCCCCTGGCCTCCTCTGCTGGTGGGGAGTGCACTGGGCCTTTGACTACCGTGTACTGTTTCAGGTGCTTCTTGTCCACTGTGGGTCTCCCACCACCTGTCCCTGTGAAGTAGAATTGTCATTGTCGTCTTTACTTTCCCTTCTCTGGGTCATGTTTATGGCACTTGGCAGCACTTTTCTAGCTGTGTGGTGTCTCCTTTAGGAGGATCAGACCAAGCTGCATGCTGGGTCCAGACAAGGGCGTGCCACCCTGTCCCTCGTCCCCTTTGGTAGTTTCTCCCTCCCAGTGACCTACTTCTGGTTCCTGCTTCTCCCCAGCACATGGATGGGTACTCCTGGTACCTTCCTTGTCCCACTCACTTGTCCCTACTGCTGAGGTACCCACAATCCCCTTGGTACCATCTGCCCGTTTCTCAGCACTGAGGTGGGCACTGTTTGTGGTGACCCCTCCAGGTCAGGAGTGGCTCCACTGTGTACTGGTCGTCTGGCCCCATTGACAGTTGTGTGAGAATCAGATTCTCACATGACCGTTGAGCAAGGAGACCTGGGTGGGCTGGGTGCAGACTTACTGCCTCTGCTGGGAACCGTGGCTCCCTTACCTTTCCCCCCAAGTATCGCTCTTCTCACCCTTGAGGTGGAGGTGAAGACCAGCTGTCCTTTGGGTGGTGAGAACTGAGTGAGGTGGGGCATGGGAAGGGTGGTGTGGTGCCAGGCCTAGCGCCCAGCCCTGCGTTGTGTGAGGCCCAAGGTGAGCACTTTGGAGCCTTTTTCGGGGGTCTCAGTGGGCCTGCTGGTGCTGGCTGGCATGCAGGGCCTGTCACCAGCTCTTCTCCACCCTTCACGTCTGAGGTGGGGTCTTTCTGTGAGGTTGTGTTTGTTTAGCATCGAGGAGGCTGTTATATCTTAAGTAAATTTGTCAGTTGGTAAGTAACTTGAAAGACTTATTATAATTTCTTTTAAATTTTTGCGGAAGGATTTAAGATTCAGAAGACTCAAACTTATTTAATTTTTCTACAAGTTGCCTCTACTCTCAAAAACAAAGCCGTTTACCATTTTGGGTTAGCTTTCTTGTGGGTTGTTTCTTGTGTTCATGTCCATGGTCAAGAAGCTGGTGTGCAGCTGGGCGGTGGTGCACACCTGTAATCCCAGCGGCTCGGGAGGCTGAGGCAGGAGGATCAGAAGTTCAAAGCCAGCCTCAGCAAAAGCGAGGTGCTAAGCAACTCAGTGAGACCCTGTCTCTAAATAAAATATAAAATAGGGCTGGGGATGGGGCTCAGTGGTTGAGAGCCCCTGAGTTCAATTCCAGGTACCAAAACAAAACACAAAGCTGGTGTGGAGCCTTGAGTTCTGACATGCAGGGCCTGGCGAGCCGAGCCGGGGAGAGGAGAGGCGAGGGTTGTTCAGCAGCAACGCTGGCAGGAGTGAGGCTCCTCAGGCTTGTGTTTATCAGCACACAGGGACACAGAGCCTGCATGAAGCTGTTTGGCAACTGTTGTGTTTTCCTGCGGCTGGGCTGGGACCCAGTTCTCCATCACCGAGCTCCTTACTTATGAGGTCACCACAGCAGGAGGTGCTCTGTGTGCGCTTCTGTGGCTTGTGCACCGTGTCCCAGAAGCCTCCTGTTTAGTCTGCCTGTTGACGTAAAGTGGCTCTCAGAGAATAGGAGGCAGCGGAGCGGTTGTCAGGCATCAGCCTGCCGCTGGCTGTAGCAGTACCACAGTGGTCCTCCACCTGGGGGTGCCCACCTGGGGGAGCCACTTCCTAGCCTTGGGCCAGTGACCTGATGGAAATGTGTAAAATGGGAGATCGTGCCACCTTGTGCATTACGCTGGGGCAGCCCTGAAGTTGCACCTGTCCCACAGGAGTCGTGTGTCTACACAGGGCCTCCCCCCACTCTTTGTTTCCCTCCAGCTAAGTCTTATTTCCCTCCGTTTATCAAAAGCGGATATATTCCCTGTGTGACAGCATACAAAAGCACCTGTGAGGGGTCTTTCCTCATGGGTGCCTTTCTGGTCTGGGCCTTCTTGTGCTTGCTGAGCTGCAGTCCTGGGCTCCTGTTTGCTCTTGGAAGAGCTGCGTTGTCCGGAAGCCTCGCGTTACAGTGGTGTCCTATATTCCCATTTTTGGAAGACATTGGTACAGGTGGACTTGTGAGGCCAGGGACACACATGGCCAGTGGCCTTTAGAAGGCCTCCTCATTCTCAGCCACACCAGCAGTGCCTTTGGCACAGGAACAGTATGACACGAGTGTCTTTTTTTTTAACCAAAGGGGCATGGAGGGCTACAGGAAGGTGTTTTCCAGAAGGCCACTGTGTGCCTGTCACGGTGATGGCTCGAGCGTTTGTTTGCTTGTTTTGAACTGTGTTCTCTTTGTGACGTTTAACCTTCGTCAGCTCAGGTTCTGCTGTGGAACAGTGTGGCCAAGTGGGACAGGGCCCCCTGTGACCTCAGAGGAACCAGCCAGTCACAGGTGTGGTGGCCAGGCTGTGGCATGAGACATCATTGTGATCAGCTGGTCAGCCTGGGATCCCAGGTCAAAGCAGGGAAAGGTGAGGGTGCAGTCCCAGCTGGCGGCGGGC